CCCCCTCAAACCTGCTACTGCAACACCTTTAATACACTTTGACATCCATGTCAAATGTTGTAAGAGGCAGTCACAGCAGCTTAAGAATCCTGAATAGAAATCTATAGGGGTATAGAGTTGTCAGTAAAATATGTTTCAGAAATGCTCATGCTGCCCCAAAATAAGGTTTTTAAAGCTTTATTTGTGTATTTATTTGTGTTTAATATATCTACCGGCCATTTTTAATGTTGCGTAATTCTCCAGTGGACTTGCATCCCTCTCTATCTGAAAATACAATAAGCTGTTTTCCATCATCTTCTGATTCACACTCAGTCATTTCAATCTGGAAGCAGCCCTGAAATGTGAAGGAAAAACTGTTCAGTTCACAAAATAGAAAGAAGGGTTATCCCTATCAGGCGTAACATCCTGAAAGGTGACAGAAACTATAATCCAGCACAACAAAGAGAATGTTCGAGCCCCAACTCCTGCACAAATGAACGTCTAGGCACTGCTCCCATTTGTTTGAAAACTAATCACACAAAAACTTAGAAACCAGAGAGCATGCTCTGTAGCATCCTCAAGACTGTCTGTTTTCTAGTGCTGTGCGATACTGTAAATTTCGGTATCGATCCAATACCAAGTGGATTAAGAGCAGTATTGCCGATACCGATACCTTTAACTTATAAGAGGAGCTTATGTAGGTCAGAGCAGTGTGTCATGATTTATTAGCTGAATTATCATAAATTTGCCTATTCCTGAGTACATTTTAATGAACACCCACACAACAGTGTTGGGATTTTAACTACATACGATTGTGTTAGTATTGATTCAATACCAGTGTTGATATCGATACTATCGATATTGCGATAGTATCGATACCACCAGTACTGTTTTCAGCATTTCTGTCAAGGTATCCATGTGAGTGACAGATGTTAAGAGTGGTGTAAGATTTCTCATCTAAGTCTTGACAAGGATAGAAATATTAACATTATAACCTGACAAACTATTGCTTTTAAATGGAAAGCTACCATCCTGTTCATGTTGCACTGCTTTCTGCAAAAATACTGTTCTATTATAACTTGTGGTTATCTGTTTTTCCTTTTGTCTCGTCTTCTATTTTCAGACACCACGGTGTGTGACATCATTCAGCTCGCCGCCATCTGTGAAGACAGGGTCTTTAATGTCTACATCCTCCCCCGCCAGCCTCTCACAGAGAGCGCAAAACGTGTCACGGGCTTCACTGTCAGCAACAACCGCCTCTTTCTCCACAGGGTTCTCGTGGACACCATCCCTCTTGCTGAGGCTCTCACTAATTTCATCGCCTTCCTGCGCTCTTTCCACCGTCCAGTGCTGCTGGCGGCCCACAATGCAAAGCGCTTTGATGCACCTGTGCTCACCAGGTGGCTGCAGAATTGCTCCCTCCTGCAGCAGTTCCAACAGGTGGTGTCTGGGTTCCTGGACACCTTCTTGCTTAGCAAGGACCTGTTTCGTCTGAGCAGTTACTCCCAGGAGTTCATGGTCCGGCGCTTCCTGGGAAAAAGCTACAACGCTCATAATGCTGTGGAGGATGCCAGAATGTTGCAGGAGCTGTACAAGGCCTGGAGACCTACCACATTTAGCGTCTCCAATTGTACCTTCAGGGCAGTCCGGGTGTATTAACAAAATGCTGAAAGAAATACATGAGAAATTATCAGACAAAGCAAAAATATGTTAAAGCTGACCTTTTATTTGCTGTTATTTTCAGGTCATTGGACAAACAGGAACAAATGAAATGGAGTAATGTGTGGTCATAAGTTATCAAGATTTAACTTATTTACTGTTAAATGTAATGTAATGTGTCACATGCAGTGCAATCTTCCTTTTCTGTTTCCTTTTGATCTCATTGATGCCTTTTTGTAGCCTCTGTGGACCAAAATGCAATGGGTCTGCAAAATATTTTCTGTTTTTTTTAAAAAAAGAGCATTACCCACATCTTTCTCAGCCTTAATAAAAGATCTGCTACTACAAAGTGTCTCTCTGTGGTTTCTAAGGTTCCACTGATTCTGTTTTATTCCAGGTTTCTATAAGAGCAGGAAATGACACCTTTAAACTGCACCATATCCTGTCTCAGCTGACTCTTCATTTCTTGAAAACTGTAGACGCTAGACAGACAGACAAGCATATGGAACCAATTACACACGTCTTCTTCTCTAGAGGGCATAGTTGTGAACCTTGGGCTTGCTGGTTAACACCAATGATTATATCAAAGATTTATTTTATTTTATTTTTTCTACAGTCAGTGGTGGAGCCCAACATAGCTTGTAATTTGTATAGATGACTTGCTATCTTTTTGTCTCTTATAGATGGGAGCATTGTACTATTCAAAATTTTTGCATGACTCACGCAGAAAAAAATCAATATGTCAAACAAATATATCCTCCTTAGAACCAGCCTATTCATTTATGTCCTCTGTAATGCTACCCTACCAAGTCCTGATGTACAAAATAAGGACATTCTGGGGTTTCCATTGACATCTCATGTGTATGGGTGGCA